GTGTCTAATTGCAGTGTAGACATATCCTAGGTGCATGGCTGGCAGCTAATTGAGTAAAGAGTACCTGGACTTGACAAAAGGCTATGGGAGCTCCTTGAAAAAGGGTGCTCCCAGGGAGAGAAGTAGGATGTGTGTGGATCTCTCAATTCAAGAGATGAAACAACTGAGTGGGGAAAGGGGCCAACTGGATAGAAGCTGACTGAGGCCCGAAGCTGGCCTTTTTACTGGTTTGGGACTTCTGATCCAAGAAGAGTCTGACTGTTTACAGCCCAGCTCTTGCAGGAGGACTGTGGGACTCCTGAATACAAGGAAGAGACGCCTACCTGAATTATTACATAGGCCCAGGAAGAGGCTGTGGGACTCCTGATCCTGAAAGAGGATGCTTGTTGGTGTTAACCCCAGGACCACAAGAAGGGTTGGACTTGAGAGGCTAAAAGAAATTAATAAAGGAAGACACCTAAAGGGAATATCTTATTCTCAGTACCTGTATCATAGAAAATGATTGCAAGGACCTGAGGGCTGTACACCTGAATGGAATGCTTGAGGACTGCACAGATAAAATAAGGTGAGCTGCAACTGAAGAGACAACCTGAGTTCTGAATTTCTTTCCTTTTGATAGTTTTTATTTGTCTAAATTAAAATTGAATGCTAACTTATAATTATGCCTGGTGTTCGCTCTTTTCATTTTAGTATTGGCCCTTCGGTGTAGATTCTAATGATGATGCGCTCTGGGAATAACAAGAATGACTTGGTATATTGGGCAACTGGCAAGAGTTTAAACAGTAAAACCCAAAATGTTCCATAATCTCTTGTTGAGTTCAGCCTGACAGATTTGTGCTGACATTACATTTCTAATTTGGATCTCAGCCTGGTTTTGTAGTCTCTTGTGTCTGCAATTTTTAAAGGAAATTTTAATTATGGTAGTATTACAAAAGCTGCTTCCACAGCACTGTGTGCTCTCAGCCATTCTGGAAAAGAAGGCCTGCAGCAAATAGCAGACTGCTTGCATGTGTGAGAGATCCTGTCACAGGCCAAGACCAAGCAAAGGAATTCAGACCCTTATCACTGGGATGAAAGGAAAGGTTGAAATTAGCTGCCCCCATCTCTCTTTAGTGGTTCCAAAACTCTGGAAAGGAGATAATCCAGTGTTCCTTAGTCATGAGAGCATGAATTGGTCTCTTTTCATGGCTCCGAAGATGCTCTTCCTTGTAGGAATGGGGGGAAGGGGAAGGAACAGGCTGCTCTTATGTGGCACAGGAGGAATGTACAGTGCAAGCAGCAGTGAGACTTGCTATGTTATTACTACACTGAACTTGGGCGTCTTTTGTGACTCTGACCGAAACAAGCCAGTTTATCTCCTGGATTCCATTGGTGTTTAACAACACTTAATAAAAAGGGAACACAAGAAGGGTGTAAATTTGAGCCAGGAAAACAGAATGTAGATAATTATCGCTCAATAGCTGTAGATATGAAAAACATGTTAAGAGAATACATATGCAGATTTGCATGCAGAGATCAACGTATCTTCAGCTGGCTTGTTTTCCCATCAGAATTCCAAAATGGTGGTATATCTCAATGGCTTACCATAGAAAACAAATCTGATTAATGTAAAGTCAAACTATTTTTGTTTAAGATACTAGCTTTGTAAACTCAGCCTGGGATCGGTGTTCTTTCCTTTTCATATATTGTCATCTATTACAAAGTACCATTTTTCAAAATTTTGCCCTTACCTCACTTATGCCAGTTTAATGCTTTTGTGTTAAAATTGTGTGCTCACTTAAATCAGTGCAACTTCACTGATTTTTTTTTTTAAGGACCCGTGCAACTGAGGGCAGAATTTGACCCACAGTTACAACTTATGTAGCAATTTTGTTGACTGTAAAGCATTGGATCTAGCTCTCCAACTCCTATAGATATGGTCATGCTGCAGATCTAAAAGGCGTGTCAAGTGCCATTTGTCACTAAATTAAGCAGATTCTGAATACACATAAGTAGCATCTGTGGAATAAGAAGGTACCATTTTTACATTGTCACTATGCATTAAATTGCTCTGCTACAATGAAAAGTTGGCCCCCAAAACTGTCACTCCATTTATTGTTCTCATTGGTGGACCTGGAGCTGTGGACCGGGGGGTGGGGGGGAGAAGGAGACAGACAGACACCCCAGAAGCAGCCTCCATATTATTCTCCTTTCTCTCCATCTCTTTCAACCCTACCGTCTATCTTCAAACTCAAGAGATTTTACAAAAATAATAAATGTGGGGTTCTTTCTATTTACCTTCTGCTTCTTGAAGTTTTAGGGTTCATATTCAAGCTTTTCTCCACAACCAGGTAGACTGCCTCCCTCTAACCCTACCCCACAAAATGAGGTTGCACCATTGGGAAGTGTTAGTCTTCAAATGAGATATTAACTATTTTGCTGTCAAATAGCACCACAGATTAATTGGTGACAATACACCTGTACAGTGCTGTATAAAATACATTGGTAAGCACACTACATCCGATGTGATCATTTGCATACTTTACAGGTATGTCTACACAGTAAAGAAAAATACTTCTGGGCTCTACGACCCTGTCGGGTGGGAGGGTCCCAGAGTTTGAGTTCCAGCCTGCTCCTGGAAGTTTACATAGCAGTGAAACAACCCCACAGCCCAAGCCCAAGTCGGCTGGCATGGACCAACTTCAGATTTTTCTTTGCTGTGTAGACGTGTCATCCTCTAGAATGTAATAAACTTTTCTTGGAAGTCATTATGTTATTATGGCATAATACCATGAAATCTGCTAGCAAGTATTGCTGTCACAGGAAAAGCACACTGTTGTCAAATTTAAGTGATTGTCCAGACTTCTAAGGCTCTCCTTGTTCCATATCAGAACAAATTTACTTTAGAGGCTCATTTCCAACACTTGCTTGCCTGTGTCCATGACTGGTAGTCTGAACAACCAGCACATGTTTACAGAGTTTGGAAATACACATAAAGTACAGCAGTCTCTGTTCAAATCCTAACTCCTGGTAGGGTCTGGGGAAACACTCAGTGACCTCTTTATCCTGAAGAACCTCCTAGTGTGTTTTAATTCAATTGCTAGAGTTACTCCATTCACCCTGTGTACTGTGATATACAAAGAAGGCTCAAAGAACAACAGAGGAAGGTTAAAGGCTTGTGACATTCCCCAGGGTGCAACCTGAACGGCTGAGCTTCTGTGTCCCCTTAGCTTTCCAGCCTGGGATGCTTTTTCCACTGCTTTGCTAGTGGACAACAAATCTCTCCAGATGCTGATCACTCGCAGCCACCAGCATGGAGAGTCACTCCCAGCTGAGTACATGAATACTATGCCCAGCCATCCATGAATAGATAGAAGGCAACACCTACATACACCTCAGTCCCAGCCTTGCCCTCCAGAAAAGTATGTCTTGTACCATTCAGTAACCCACTGGACTGTACAAGCTTATAAATCAGTTTGTCATTCCATCAAAGCAATGGTCCTCTCCAGCCTGTAATGCACCAGCCTGGTTATCTCCAGTGGAGGCTTCCCAAACACTTCAATCAAACACATTGGTTTTGACAAAACAGTAAAACAACTTTAGTAACTAGAGAATGATAGATTTTAAGTGATTATAAGTGATAAGGCATATAAGTAAGAGTCAATTACAAAAGAAATATAAAGATAAACGCACAAGCTAACACCTAAATTTTACCAAGGCTAATAAGCAAAAAGGTGTGTCTCACCCAAAAGCCTACAGCAGTCTGTGCTAGCTGGAAAGCCTGCTGGCTAGGACCCCTTCCCATGGTTCCAAAAGCTTCCTTTGTTCTTTCAAGCATTGTAGGTGCCATGAGCAGGGATGGGGGGAAAGAAGGTATCTATCCTTTTTAAACTCTGACCCTTTGCACTAGAAAAGTCTTTGCTGGGTCATGGGGTCAGACAGTTCCATGGCCTATGTGAACTGCCAAATGTCCTTCAGGTGAACTGTAAATACTTTGTTTATACCCCTTTTCCTGCCAAAGGATGACTGTTTATCTAAGTGATAGAGGTGATAGTCCCTTATGGTTTGTTTGATTATGCTGATCCCTCAGTATGCCTTTGTCTCTGAAAAACTAGTTTGGACCTCCTTTTCTAACTTTGTAACATAATACACGGTTATACAGTATAGTCTCATAACTTTACATACAAAGCTGACACACATTAATTACCAGGTTAATAATGTTCAGCAGCTTATGAGTTTTCAAATGATACCACACGAGGCATACTTTGTATAAAATAACAAAATAAATGCAGTGAACATGGGGTACAGGGTTCCGCATGGGTTACAGTGTGTCAGAAAGCTATCATGAATAGCCATCTCCTCTGCTTGGGTCAGACCCCACCAATAGGTCATATTAGTCAGAGTGCTTCACAGGCCAACCAGAGCAGCTTACACTCATACTGATTCTTCTCTGTTTATGTTTCTGCTGCACTTTGTGATCTTTGCATACTAAGCTATTGTGTGAATGGTGTACTCTAGGTTTCTAATGTAGGCTGTTTGTGCAGAGGAAAAAATGATATACATACAGCATGCGGACATGAAACTACTTTTGGTAACCTGTGAATGGTTAGTTTCAGAGTAACAGCCGTGTTAGTCTGTATTCGCAAAAAGAAAAGGAGTATTTGTGGCACCTTAGAGACTAACCAATTTATTTGAGCATAAGATTTCGTGAGCTACAGCAAGTGAGCTGTAGCTCATGAAAGCTTATGCTCAAATAAATTGGTTAGTCTCTAAGGTGCCACAAGTACTCCTTTTCTTTGTGTGAATGGTTAATATCAGTCAGTTTGAATGGTACTGATGTGAATCTTCCATGTTACCCTCTAGCTTCACTGAACACAAATGCAGTTTAGCTGTGCAGTAGAGAAGCATGAAGGGGGGATACGGTGAAGAACTGCCTCACAAGGATGTACAACTGACTTGAGGAAACATCCAGTTTGGAATGTGAATTCAGGCTATTGCACTTTTATTCCATCTGTTGGTTATGAGGTGATCTTGAAACTGCTCCTTGCATGGAACACCCAATTGAAATTCCACTCCTGCGGTGAGTACAGGAAAATGGATTGCTTATTTATGATTCAATGAAGGGGCTGTTCTCCCATAGTATAAGACAATGTGTACATAGAGAATGATAATGTATCTTTGACCTGTTTGTTATAATTTAATTGCTCCTAAAGAGCCCAATCAGAATTGATGCCTCCTTGAGCTAGGTTCTGTACAAATCCATCTGATGATCCAGGCTTGTACTGGAGATCTTATAGTCTAAACCCATTACATACTCCAAACAAAAAATAACAAATTATCCTTCTCTTCTTTGAACTAGTGAGGGAAACCTTAGAAATTATGTTAGCTGACTAGGATTATATGAAGTCTAGAGTCTGACATGTTTTGTCTTAAAATGATACAATACAATAATCCAATATTCATTATGGAAGGGACTGGAACCCAGGTGTGTTTTTCCCCCTCCCAGATGAGTACCCTGACTACCAGGCTATGGAGTAATTCTCTCTTTCATCTCTGGTGCAATTAATATTTAATTATTTAATACAAAATGGAACAGCTTCAAAAGGAGAGATTGAGAGAGACTCACGACGACATAGCCAATAACCTGGTGATAAAAGCACTTATCTTGGATGTGGGAGACCTGCTCTCCAGGACCTACTCTAGAACAGGGTTTGAAATTTCAGTCTCCTGCATCCCAAATGAGTGCCCTAACCACCGTGCTATTGGATATAATGGGGGGATGCACAATCTTCTCTTTCTCTTCGGTTCTCTGAATTTAGTCCTGAGCTTCTCAAAGAGGGGGACAGCGCAGAATGTAGTCGGGGGTGGGTGAGAAGCTTTAGAGGAAAAAAGACTTATGGCGCACAATTCACCCACAGCAATGAATAAATAGCAAAGCTGATTCCTCCAGATATATCATGTCCTCAGGTGGCGCTGTTCATTTGACTCAAAGGCACTGTGCATTTTGATGGATTTCTGTTAACCTTGCATAGCATTAAACAACGTCATTGCCAGCTGTAAGTTAACTCATTTGCTATGGCGCAGTGTGTACGTTCAGTCGTAAACATCAACCACAATCGCAGTTTTGCTTTTGCTCTTACTAGAACGGGTGGTTAGTTCTATTTGAATCAATGCCTTCCTCTTTTTAATATTTAGTGAGAGTTGCAGGTTGATTATTTTTTATCAGTAGATGTATTTGTGTGGTCGGAGGCGTGGGCATGAACTACTACAGACACAAAGAAGGGGGCATAATCAAATAAGTTTGAGAACCACTGATCTAGGTTGAAAGCAAAACGTTTCATGTGATCTGATACAAATTATTTTCCAACTTGTTGATTCACTGAAAATTCTGATTTTTTCAGGTTTTTGGATTTTACCCGAAACTTTTTTTTTTAACTGGTGCCAGTGAACGGAAAAATCAATTATTGGCACAAATCTATTGCCTGCAGTAGAAAATGACTTGACCCCCACCCCCAGACTTAGTTAGATCAAATGCAGGGGCTGCTCTACCTTATAGTAACCTTCTTTGGGTTACCCACAGACTGCTCTGCAGCCCAGAATATGCCATAGTGCAGAACGTTACATGTGTGCCCCTCCTGTTCCCAGTCTCTGTTTTCCCCTCCCCTGGCATGCTCTCTTCACCAAGGGCAGCTTATGTTAGCCCTATGCTATTCCTGCACCAGAAGAATTCTTCCCTGCATGTAGCATGTCCTTTATTACTCCTGTACACCACCGGAGTGGCATGTTGGGGCTGGAGCAAGGCCAGAATTGATCCCTTTTTTTAAAAAAGGGAAGAAATAATTCAGGTTTGAAACATTTTATATAAAGGGGCTATGAAACAAAAATAAAATTAACCTCATATGCTAGGTTAACTGCTTTTAAAAGAATAACTACTAATAAAAAAACCCCTAAAATTTCTATAGTAACATTTTTTAAACGGGTGGCATGAGTTGTCATGTACACAATTGTTTTTAATACATACTCTAGAAAGAGTTATATTGAAAATGACCATTAACTGAGTAACCTCTACTGCAAGGAATCACTTCTCCTATTATGCAGGCCATCGCGCCTCCCAATCAAAATCTTCTTTGTCTTTGTGGCCCATTTCTGTAGCGACTAGAAGAAATGCTTGTGGGGAGGTAGAAGGGCTTGTCTTGTTTCCAGCAACTGCTTTCTGTGAAAGAGCCTGGGTGCCTGCAAAAGCATCTAAAAGGAAATGGGATTAACACCCTATGAGCAGCCAGCTGTCTGTGAACCATAATTTGAGACTGCTGATCTCGTGCATTCTCCAGTATTTCAGAAAACAATTACTGGGCCCGATCCTCGGGTAGTGTAATTGGCATAAATCCATGGAAATATGCTAATTTACAGCAGCTGAGGACCTCACCAAGTCTTTTAATTTCCCGAAGTATACTATACTTTGAATATGGACCTAAGGGTACATCTACATTTGAGCTAGGAGGTGTGATTCCAAGCTCACATAGACGTAGCTTGAGTAGAGCTAGCACCGGTAACACTAAAAACAGCCGTGTGGCCAAGGAAGAGCAGGCAGGGGCTTGGCTAGTGTGCCCGCAAGGGCTGGGGGGAGATACCAGTGAAAGGATGACACTCAGGCCTGAGAATAGTCAGCTATGCTTTAATGAAGGAAGAACTTATGCTCCAATCTGCACAGGGAGCCCCTAGGATGTGTGGAGGGGCTGCAGCGGACTCTGGCCGTTCGGGACAGCTGACCAGGCAGGACTCTGCCGGGGGGAAGTCCTCTGTGGTGCTATATTCTCTGCGCTTATCTCGGGGTTACATAGGGTCAACAGCTGGTTACATTTTTCCATGTATAATTTATGTTTGTTATATAAACTAACTTGTTTACAGACAAAAGTATGCTGAGCTATGCTACGGTATCTTTTGGCAGGGTCTGTCGGACAAAGTTCATTCTAACTGCCTGCATCCTCCGCTTACATCCAATCACGTACTCAGTCCACCACTTAGCTCCTTGCCAATCTTCCGCAACCTTGCCCCTACAGCTAGCTAGCCAAGTACGCACCCACCCGGCCCTTCTGGGTACATACTAGCACTGTAGCTTGAGCGGACCTAGGGTGGGGTATGTCTACGTGAGCTCAGAATTACACTTCCAGATGTACCTTACAGCTGTGCAAAAATCATCTCAATTCTGCAAATGAGACTTCTAAGAGTTTTCACAAGAAAGTGCAAATTTTGTCTGGGGAGAATTTTAGTTTTTCTACCAGTGAACAAAAGTCTTTATTTCTCTGCAGCAATCAGTGGCCACATTTCCTCCTGGAAGCATTAACACATTTTTGCTCTTCTACCTTACATGAAAAGTGACTAATTTTACAGAAAAATATTAACATTTTCACAGCAGTGACTATTTGTCTCTTGATGGAAGGAGGAAAAAAAAAAAAAAACCAATACTCTCTTGTGGGAAAACTGAAAAAATTGAGGCAAATCAAATGCTTCATTTTCAAAAAACCAGCAAAAATATGATTTTTCTGTGTCTAATCAATATTGACTTTTTGGGCCAACCTCTCCATGCAATACATTTTTTAGACATTTTTTTTAGTGTGGAAATGAACAATGGGAAAACATGATTTGAAAGAGCCTCCTTTTGATTTATAGACAACTTACTTTGACTTCTAACCAAATGCAAAAGCTTTTTGTTACTCCTACCATATACTTCCAGTACCAGTTGATAGTTTATTTGTAGCACTTCACAAGCAGAGTAACATCAAAATCTGGATTAGCTGGAAAAATATGCTTGTCAAGCATTTTAGTGCAATGATGAGTAAATCAATTACATCCCAGTAGTTCTGTAACTATTAAGATCTGTTCACTTCTATGAACATTACAGCAAAATACATGGCTCCCTTAACAAGGACTCCTGCTGTTTAAATGCAAGAAATGTCTGCAAACACTGGCTTTGCATACAGAAAGCTATATTTAGGGGCTTGATCCTGCTTCATTTAAGTAAATAGGAACTTTGCCATTCACTTTAGTGTGCTGGATTGGGCCCTAAGTGCTTTCTGGGCTCGATGCCATTTTCTGAATGCCAGCAGGTTACTTTGCCCCTTGCAATTTATTTTTCCTGATATTCATAGAATGGATATCAAACTGTAGCTATTGATCTGCGATGGTTTCTTTTCTAGTCATGCTAGGTAGGATTAAGCTACCCTGTAGCTTTCTTAGTGAGAACAGTTAATGGAAATATCACAGGTGAAAATTACAAAATTCTTCCAATTCACTGTGATCATTATAGTCAGGCACACATTCCATAAGATTCCAATTCAACAGAATCCCAGACATTTTTACATACTGAATATATTGAGCCAAATCCAACAGGCAAAAAATCCTGGCAGAGGGGAGTGTTTGCGACAGATGAATCCTGGCTAATGCTTGCTACTCTGAAAACCTACTGAGAGAGGTTGCTTTGCAGGAGTCTGTAACGGGCCCAGGGCTAATTAAAAAAAAATTGGGTCTCCTTTCCGAGCCAATCAGTTCAGCACCTCATTAGAACTGAAGGTCTAATTCTCATTTACACCACGGGCCTTTCACACTATTGTGTAAACGTCAAAATAATTGAACATCATAACATTCTGAGCCCAGGCTCATGCTGCCACTGCTTCAGCAGAAGCAGCAGCACCCACTGGACTGGCAGTTGCTGGAGCAGCTGTAGTGAGAGAAGGGGAAAATCCTCTTCCCAACATCTAGGGGAGGGAATGGGCAGAGAGGGAAGGAGATGGCCCACACTCCCTGCTGCCTCCCTCTTAGACCTTCTAGACCATTCCCCTCCTCTGGAGGCACCACATGGGATGGAAGCTCCCCCAATTCCCAGGGTAGGGAAAAAGAAAAGCCTGGATGGGGGTGGACTCTCAGGTGACCTCCACAGATGCTTTTGTCTATCCTCCCTTTAGGATAAACAACCTTCCCCTGCTGCCAGCTATTGTAGTTCTGTAGCCTAGTGATAGTTTGTGCTGCAGGTTCAGACCCTGTTGATGATGCATGATGGGGGAGATTGTTACAGTTTCACAC